GTATGTAAAGTATTTATTATATGTCAAGCACTGCACTAAGAAGCCATTATTATTGTACCCTATTATACTTCCACCCCAATGTGGTTTGGTTTTGTTTAGAAAAGATTTATAGTTGCCATTAATTCTACAGCAGCTACAAGTTCCCTTCAAGGTAAAAGACCACATTACAGTGCATTCTAGATTTGCCAGTACCTACCATGGACATGTGTACAGGTCACTTCACCTTTGCTAATGTTCTTACAGAAATCAGACATTAAAATTCCTTTCTACTCCACAAAATATCTGTGATGCACACCAAGAAACATGACTGATCGGTATTTTGATGAAATCCTCATAAATACAGAGCAAGGTATTTTGGGTGCTGACAAACATATGGTGGTAGCAGATCTACTTTCATTCTCTCATATGCTTAGCAACACTGTAACATTTTAAGTATTTGTATAAAATTTCATGATTCCATGCTGTTTTAAAACGATCAAATGCCAAACGATTACTTCCAAAAGGCTGTTCATGATTCTCACACACCATGGCAGCTGTGGACGTAAAAAACACAAGCCTGTTAATATTCAAGGTATAAATTCTAGGTGATAAAAGAGACTGCCTTCTCTTTAACCTACAAATCTTCAGTGGGATGGCTTTTTCAACAGGAAACCGATCTGCTCTCTGACATTTGCCAGAGAATGAGAATTTGTGCAAATATAATTACAATAAACAAGTATTTATTATAAACTCTTTCCTAGATTAGGAATTGCCTACCTAATCAATAGTACATGTCCATGTCTAAGTAGAAGGACTTTAAAACAATTTGAGAAAATGCACACATAAAATCACTTTTCAGGCCGGGCTCAGTGGCTCAGCCTGTAATCCCAGCACTTTGGGAGGCCGAGATGAGTGGATTGCCTGAGCCCACAACTTGGCGAGACCTCATCTCTACAATAAATCAAAAAAATTAGCCAGGCATGGTAGCTCACACCTGTAGTTCCAGCTACTTGGAAGGTTGAGGTGGAAGGATTGCCAGAGACCAGCAGGTCGAGGCTGCGGTGGCCAGTAGCGTGCCACTGCACTACAGTCTGGGCAACAGTGAGACTCCAACTCACAAAACAAAAAACATTCACTTTTCAGTGCAATCTGAAGAATATTTATCATAATCCAAAAGCATAAAAAAAGCCACCATCGCAGGGCTCGGTGGCTCAGCCTGTAATCCCACGACTTTGGGAGGCTGAGGTGAGTGGATTGTCTGAGCCCGCGGGTTCGAGACCTGCCTGGGCAGCGAGACCTCATCTCTACAATAAATAAATAAAAATCAGCCGGGCGTGGTAGCGCGCGCCTGTAATTCCAGCTACTTGGAAGACTGAGGCGGAAGGATCGCCGGAGCCCAGCAGGTCGAGGCTGCGGTGGCCAGGAGCGGCCACTGCACTCC